TGAAACCCACAGAAACAGCTGACCTGAACAAGGGGGAGCTCTTGGTCCCCAGGCTGATAGCTGGGAAACCAGCATTGGATTGATCCAGACCCCCTGAATGTGGGTGTCAGTAAGGAGACCTTGGAAATCTATGGGGCCCCTTGTAGTACTTATCAGTACTTATCCCTAGCATAGGAATGGACCCTGGGAGCCCATCCCACATGGAGGGATACTCCCTGAGCCTAGACACAAGGGGGTTGGCCTAGGCCCTATCTCAAAGGATACGACAGACTTTGAAGCCCCCCCTACAGAAGGCCTCACCCTCCCTGGGGAGCAGAAAGGGTATAGGATAGGTAGGGTATTAATTTGGGGGGAGGGTTCAGGGGAGGAGGAGAGGGAGAGGGACCTGGGATTAACATGTAAAATAATCTTCTTTCTAATTAAAAATAAAAAGAAGGCCAGGATGAAAATCACTAGTGAGAAAGGGCAGATACTGGGTAAACACAAAGCCAACAGCAGAACAGTCCAAGCACCAAGCACCAAGGGTTAAGCAAGCATGGGCCTGCCTGTATCTATAACACAGGGACTATTTAGTTAACTTCTTTCTAGCAGAGTTAGGGGCAAGCCAACCAAGCCGAGTCCATTAGCTGACCTAGGCCAGAACTATAACAGTATACTTCCGAGTTGAGTTCAGTGCCTCTGAGTACATTCTCAGTCGATGTTAACATAACCATCAACAACAACCCCAACATCTCAGGACAACCCTGAAGACAACCAGCAGGCATGTCCAGGGACACCCAGGCAGAAGGTGACACAGCAAAAGCAACTTGGCAGATCAATGCCTCAACTCTTAGGCATAGACCTTCCTTCCACCTTTACTAGAAAACAAAAATGGCATTATTCCATTATACTTGCCAAGGTACAGTCTACTTCAGTATAATAAAGCCTAAGTCTTCTACATTTTATATTTTTACTGACTTCCTTCAGTTATATTTTCTAAGTTTTATTTTAAAAATCCAATTGTGAACATTTTCCGATCAAGGTAAAATTTGGTACTTTATGACAATGATGATGAAAATGAAGAATTTTGCCAGCAGCCAAGGACATAGTCTGGAGGAGAGAGCTTCTCCTGCAAAAGCTTCTTGTTAGGGGATTAGTAGTTGTCAAGCTGTTGTACAAATCCTTACTTTTATACTTTTCATTTCTCAAGCTCATTCTAACACTTCTTTCTCCTTACTTGGTTTACTATTGCTTAGTTTTAAAATGGAATTTTAAAAGCCATAGAACACAGAAAGAAAACAATCAGAAAAATGGTTGTATGGACACTTACTATCTATTATAACAAGTACAGGCCAGCTAAGGCCCAGCTCATTGAGCCTGTTATCAAGCAGTGATATGCATGGCCCCCAATCTCTTAGCAGCCTCTGCAAGCAACTATAGCTTAAGGGCTACATTTTAAATTTTCCACTTTTTTCTGTCCTGTGCAATTTTATTTACGCAAAATGCATCTAATGGTTGGTCAATCAGCAGCATATGGAGCTTTATGACAGCAATTTCCCAGCACTTCCAGAAAAGGGAATCCAGGACGTGAAAAATGCCTCTTAAAGCTCCCTATTATTTTCTGTTGCATTAATAGGAGTTAGGACAGCAGAGGATAGGAACCATAAAGAATATTTATTTATGTTAATTTCACATTCAGAAAGTATGTTATCATTGTCCAATTAAGTAGAAATGAATCTGGGTTAACTGATAAACAAGGAAGTAGCCCACATGGAGAAGGCTGTGTGCTGTGCTCAGGGTGAAGGGAATTGTCTATAGTGCCACAGGGCTCCAACAGATTAATGAGTAGGCACTGGTGAGCTAAGTGAGGATCTTCTGTGAAGAAAGGAAGGAGCCATTACGATGATGTGCAACCACACTCTGCAGCAGAAACATTCAAATTAGATAGTTAAGAAAGAGGGGGGAAAAATGAAAGGTAGGTAATACACTTGCTTTCCTTAACAGCAAATTCAAAAAGTAACAAACACCATATGGATTGTGTGATGATTCATTATGCAAATTAACATGGACTTTTGTAGACAGTCTTAAGAATATGAAAGATTTATTTAAATAGTTACATGTTAATTAAAGGCTAAACTCGGGATTTTTGCCCCATGATTCTAATCGGCACAAAGCTTTATGAATCCATTCATACTTCATGCTGTCTAGGCAATGATGCATGTGAACCAACCCAGTTACAGCCGCAATCACATCATCTGGCTTCTACTGCCCGTGAAGATATAACTACAGTGATGTTAGTGTTTAGACATGATACGGAAGAGGCAGTGCACAGCAACATGACCATAAAACTAATGTTGCATTGACATTAAAATGTTCAGATTCACTCAAAGATAGAACAATGGTCACTAACTTTTTAAAACACCTCTTAGAAAATTCACTTAATTCAATTTAACAAGTGTACTGAGCACTGAATATGGGCTGACTGTTGTATAGGATGCCAGGATGATCACTTAATTCAATTTAACAAGTGTACTGAGCACTGAATATGGGCTGACTTGTATAGGATGCCAGGGATGCAATGATGGATAATTTGAACTGTCTTTCACAGAACTTAAAACAAGGAAAATAGATATG